AAATGTCGTGTTAGCTAACGGCTTCGTCTTGTTGTATTGTGTTAGTTTATCAAAATCATTCGCTTAAGTCTATTACAGATATAGATATTCCCATATGCGTAAAACTAGGGTTGCAGACATACAGTCAACTTGCTCTTGAGTGTTCACAGACCTGCTGTGACCATTCCAATATGGCAGAAGCCTTATAGCGGCCCATAGAAACAGCCGCTAGGGCATCTATATATATGACCTAACAGTCTGCTAATACTCTGAGTTGGTTGACATGTATTTGCAAAGTTACTTATAGTTAGTAGAATGTTTAAAGTGGACTATTGAAATGAAGTGTAACTTATAGTTTACATTTAACAAATGGCATGACATGTTGTCAGTTGTTTCACTGGTCCAAAATCCTGCTCACTGGCTTATGAAAAGTAACGAGTTTGTATATGTAATTAGTACATGATGGCATCCGTAATACCGTCTCTTCACCCAGTGCTGAAACATTTGGACCATCATTCCTTTTATCCCAAAGGAGAATTACTTTTCATAACTCATTGGGCAATATGGATCTATGCACCAATGGGATGAGAAAGTCCTGTTCCTCATCACTGTACATTAAACATCAAATATATTCTAATTGGCTGTGACTGTGTCACGTTGCACAGCTGTTTTGTATTCAGTGCGGACAGATAAATTGGTTGACTCTGGAAACTTGCCGCATCACGCTGGGTCATCATAGTGTCAGTAGGGTCTCTATATGCTGACTGGGTGAGGCCAAACAAAAATCTGTCTGCCAAGATAACTCAAGGAGAAGATTCCAGACAAAACACTGTTCTCCCGAGGGTCTTGTTCATGTTTTCCCAACTCATCTTGGCTTTTTAAATGGTATAATTTACTTGCACACATACTCGTGTTTGTAATGTGTATTTAGTACATATGGTGGTTGTATTTGTTTTGGAGCCAGCCCAGTGTGTCTTCGGTCTGTTGGGGGGGATTGAACATGGATATGTTTTGGCAAAGCTGCTGTGTCTACTCAAGAGTGTTGAAGCACCATCATATCATGTTTAAGGACTATTCCTCTATGTTCAGTGCAGTGACTGCTGTTTAGGCACATAGCAGCAATTTAATGTACAACCCATGTGGGCAATCTGTCTGATGTGTGAACAACATGAAAAACTCTACTAAAGTAAGTAGGAAAATGTCAACTTCACTAAAGCATCATATTATTGTTCAGACTTGGGGGTTTTCAAAATCCCAAACCTAATACCAATGTTTTAAAGTGCAACTCATCCAAAAGTTTTTAGCCTATACCCAACAAACATGGACAGACCTTCTTCAGCCTGGTCTGACTTGCATTTTACTCATTTGGCAAGGACTATGTTGCATTCAAGGAAAAAAAATTTATCAGTTCATTCATTCCCTGGGAATCAAAACCAATTGGCATCATAATGCTCTATTCTTTAAACTACAAGAATGACTTAGTGTGTTGTGTCTTTTCTAACCAAATAGACCTACAGTTTCCCCATATTTATTCTATTCAAACGTTCTGACTAATAACTCCCAAGAGTTTTCAAGCTACGGATCTATGACCAAACAATGACCAAACACCCAAAAATGAAAATTCAGTTATCAGTTGATAGCAGCCATTCATTTCTAAAGTTTTTTCCAAACTATGGAAGTAAATAGCTACCGTCAACTGTTTGGTTACCAACATTCTTCAAAATATCTACTGTGTTCAACAGAAGAAAAAAAACTCATACAGGCTTGTGGGTGAGTAAATGATGACAGAATTTTCATTTTTGGGTGAACTATCCCTTTAATTGACTCAGTTACAGTTATATCAATACTTCACTTACACCTTTAAGTGTTTGAGATGCAATGTAAGTAATGAAATTAAATGCTGCCATAATAATTCTAATTATTTATTTATGGAAACAAATACATCAGTTTGCATGTCATCAAACTGTAAAAAAGAAACAGGAAATATATATATATATATATATATATATATATATATATATATATTCCTTTCTTCATTAGTCAGTAAAGGTAGTAGTAGATTTAGTGAATCTGCTCATATCAATCTCTAAAGAAACTATAGCTTTGGATAAATGTCAACTAACATTAATCTGCAACAAATTGATATTATTTTAGCATTTAGTCATATAGTTTAAAACACTTGAAATAAATACAGATCAAAAGAAGAAAAAAAAGAATTACAACATGAATTACAGTAACAAATATTTAGATTGTATCCAGTGTGATTTCCAAAAGTCAACATGAATTGCTGTTTGCTATCCTACATATTTCAGTGTGAAACACTATATTCAACAAGAAAAATGTGGAGCAGGATTTGATTTTATCTATTGAGAATCATGATCAGCACACAGGGTGTACCATCCCAGAATATGAATTGTGTTTGCTAAAACAATACTTAAATAGATTTGGCTACTCACATTATCCATTTGGCTATTGCTACAAATATACCCCAGTGACTTAAGACTGGTTTTGTGGTCCAGGGTCACATATATATTTCTATTAACACTGAATGTCTTTGAAAAATCGGCAAAGTAGTTCCTTCACTGTACATTCCAGTATTTTAAAAGAAGAAAAAAACAACATAGTTCAGTAACTTCATTTGAAGAGCACTAAACCCTCCAGCATTCAATACAGAGAAAATAGACATTCGTCCCTCAGGAGAAACAACACTAACATAAGCCATGCTCATGTCACAGAGGTCAGGTGCACATGTGCACACCTTCATTTAGCATGTAATTGGACAGATATTTATACAGCTGCCTGGAAGTGCATTTGAGATCAGATGAACTAAAAACAGAAAAAAAAAAAAACTTTCAAAATAAATAGGATTTTGGCTTAGAGACCCCAACAAATGAAAAAAAAAAAGTGGTATATCAGATGACTGTGAGAATGTTGATAGCTGGTAAATGACATAAAACTTTGTAACAAACCATGGAAATACAAATGTGTTTTTTGGGTCTTCACACATCTAGGGACCTTGAGGCACCTTGCTGAGCTGAAAGCCCTTATGGGCCCTTAGGGGTGTGAGATCTAAATAAACGCTACACGATGCTGACATGCATCCTGACTGGATTATGTTGTCAACTCAAGTAAATAAACAGAGGAACTCAACACTGTGAAGCAAAACATCTTTGGAGATACTTCTGTTTGTTTTTTGGATGCTGAGAATTTCAACTAAAACAGGGCTTTTCACACCATGATTATCATCTTTTTTTTTTTAGCCCTGGGTTAAAGTCACATTAATCAATATTCAATGACACAATGCTCACATTAATGGCCATACAATGTAAAGGCCAACTGTTTCATGTCAGACTCATCATAAACTGCTTCAATTCTTGCCTTATTAAATATCCTCATTTTGAATAAAGTCATCCAAAAAAGGCTCAAGTGAAGAATGAAAGTGGCCAGTTTATCATAGAGAAAGCATTAAAAAATGAATACCTCAGAGATACTTCTGTGTATAATATGATTGTGGCAAACAGGTCAGGGCCGAGAGTCATGGGAATGGAGCGAGGCCGGTGGCGTGAGTGCTAATGAGCGACACCTGCGCGCCACACCGGTATCGAGTCTCACAGAGGAACTATATAAAGAGGAGTGATGCCAGTGGAGTGAGAGAAAGGACCAGGCCTGGGACCCTTTAAGTTTTGTGTGTGGTGCAATCTGCCATGAAGTGGCTGCCACTTGTTTAATGTACATTTAATTTAAGCACGTTGTGTTCAGTACAAATTTTGTGGGTACGTTTGAGTCATTACCTAATTTAATTCCTTCACTGAACCAGGCACCAAAACAACACTTGCAAATAAACTGAGCTATATTAATTCTAAGTGCATTCGCCCCACTGCATTTTTCTTTTTAAATTCATGATTAGTGTCCAGACGCACGAAAATCTTCAGAAGCCAAACCACAGTAACTACATCAACACTGAAGCAGAAAAAATTATTGAATTCTGATTGATTTGAGATACAATTTCACCCTCTGTTCTCTCTGAATCTAAACATAATAGAGCCAAACCCATTTGTCACAGGGCGGAACGTATTGTAAGAGACCCAATGTGTCTTTGCATGACAAAATAATTATTACTATAAATAGATAAAAGGCTTCAATTTGAGTCACTGTTACCAACATAACTGGTATTCATCCATGGATAAAAATCGTAGAGAAAAAGGGGCAAACTTTGCCTTGAGACATGAAAGCCCACCCCAGCGCACGAAACACAGCTCTGAAACAGATACCAGTGGAACTAATTTCTTTCACCGCCATTGTTCTGCGGTTCTCTAGAACTTTGGAGAGGTCCTCTGTGTTATTCAAGGAGACATTGATCAACATTTCTGACACGCAAGTTCCTGTGTTTCTTTTAAAGGAAAGAAAATAAAATCAGAAGACTATCTAATTATTAGGTTTGTGAATTTATGTGGATTCTGCTTAGGTCGTAAATGTTACTCATCTCACTTGCACAAAAAAAAACAAAAAAAAAAGCGAAATCGCAAACCAGAATGAGACAGTAAGTCAGTATATAACATCAAACTGATTTAAATAATTAAGTGTTAAACTAACTGTATTTACTGTACGCGTTAACATGTTAACTGTGACAGCTCTAATTGTATATGATAGCTGATTCTAAGTAAGTCTTCTATATTTTCTGGAAGACAAAGATGAAATAAATCATGATATCTGTTCTCAAAACGTTTCAATATGACCTATAGAAGGAACGTCAGTGTGAAGTGTAGAACAGGCACAGCTCAGTGTTGCTCAGCCTCAATGTACGTCACTCTTTTTCTTTGGTCATATCCCGAATGACGCACTTGATGTTGACTCGTGGCCTTGTGCCCTTTCCTTACACATGTCTGTGAAGTCCATAAGACTGTAGGATGTCCCATTGATGATTTCATGATTCATAAGGGTTCTCATGAGAGATCCTTTTTGGCCACAATGTGCCCTTGTTGCCCTTTGCAAAGTTCAGTGTACAAATTACTAACTGACAGTCTTTCTGGCTTACCATCGCAAGAATTTAGGTGGAGGATGACTGCAAAGGCTGAAGGTGGCATCTGAGACAGGGCCTTTGTCTTTGATGTTGATAAACTGTCATAATGAGATAACGTGGCAATAAGACGTACCCATCTGGCTTGATCAGCAGAACAAGCATCACAGGTATGTGGTGGCCTCACGGTTCTCACGTTCTCTGGCCTGCGCCACAGCCACATTGATGCACTGCAGCCACTCTTCCGCATGCTTCTCGTCTTGAGCTTTCAGCACGTAGGTTTTGCTGTCGGTGAAGATCTCGAAAGCTCTGGGCAGCCCGCGGTCACGCCTCTTCTTTGCAACCACCTTAACACTTTGCACTTTGCTAAGTTCAATTGTGCTGTTGTCCAGTTCGTCCTTCTGTGAGTAACAAGAGGGAAAAGGCTCCATCAATCAAAGCTAATGCTTTACACTCTAACATTCAGGAAGCTTTGCATGGACCACAGCCATGTGCATTGAGCCAGTAGTCTAAGTCAGACCCTACACCTCGTCTACAGCTTGGAAATAATCCGCGTCTCATTGGCGGTCGCCACAGAAAATCTGCTCTGAATTTTTACTCACTTTACTCTGAGGTTCACCTGACTCCATCAGACCGGTTATTTCCCTTGTGGAAAACAAGTATACTTTAGAAGAGTGCTTATTATAGACATAATATACTTTAAAAGAATGTACTTAAGTGAAACTAAATTTAGTGTTTTTGGACTAATTGCATGTTAATTTAAATGAAAACAATTTAAAACATTATAAATGCAATGAATGAATTAAGCAGTGCTTTATGACCCCCTGAAGTAGGACTTAAGCACATCATTATATTAAAAATAATAATCGCTTCTATTGTCTTTGAAATATAGTTAAGTGTACTACAGAATGTACTGAAAAGCACTTATTGTAAACTAAAATATACTTGAATGTCATTTCTGTTTAAACTTGTATGGCATGTATTTCAATATATTTATAATTACACATTTGTAATGATGAAGTTGCAGTTTAGTACATTTTTTAAATATATTAACAAACTGCAGTAAAAATTATAATCAGGTACTTTAAATGTGCTTTAGTACGTCAACACATCAAAATAAGTGTACTTCTTTAAAGCCCAACATAAGTTTTACACGTTAAAACATCATGATTTAAAGGTGCTTTAAAGTAAAAGTTGTCATTTTCACAACGGTTAGGGTGCGTTTACATAATACACAATCTTGCGATGACTAGTCAACTAGTCAACCACTAGTTAATAGCAAATTAAAGGCATAATAAAAACAAGATTACACAAGTGACAAATTGTCCTCAAAATCATATTGAAAGCGCTTGTCATGCCTGATAAAATTAAGACTCTGTCAAGAGTTTGCAAAATAAAATGACTGTAGCAATGCATCGCTTTTCCAGTTTAAGATTTACAATAAATCAAGATTTAATGTGCTTACAGCTCTGACAAATGAATTCATTTGTACTAAAAAGCTTTTGCTGGCTTTCTGTCAGAATACTGTGAGACTGACTGATCTTAGCTTTTTAGTCACTGTTTGCATGTCATGGTTTTGGTTATGAATTCTCTTTTGCATAACCCTAAATTGCTCCAAGTTATATGGATGCATAGTAAACTGGGTCTTTGCTTCGTTTAAACACAACAGAGAGATTTTGACAAGCCGTTTTAGTTTTATTTAGTTCATCTAAATCCCTTCAGGGAACATTTCGGTGAATCTTAAGATTAAGGGATGGGTTTTTATAAAGAATTGATCATCTTCCAGAAAGCAGGGCTCTAGACTAATAAAATTTCTAGTGAGCCATTAGCTCCTAAAATAAATCATCTAACAGCTAAAATCCTTTTTTTAGTCGCCAGATTACAGAATTGCTCATTATAGATTGTAGTTCATGCTCACAATCTTTTGCAATGGGCCAAGATTCACAGGAAGATGCAAGAAACGTTGTTCTGATATTGTTTTTTAACCAAGTTTGCTCTGTGAGGAATTATTTCACTATTTAAGTACCATGTTACATTCATTTGGGCTTCTTTTAATTGGGATTATCTGCTGTATATTCTATTAATGTTTCAGGAATTGAAAAAGCATCATTTATTTACATTGCAACAGAAGGACGCAGAGTAGAGTTCCAGGAAACATTGGCATGTATGTAATTATCTAATGTTACCTCAAGAAATGATATCTGACAAAACTAGGGCTGGGCGATATAGCTAAAAAATGTATCAACGATGTAACGTGTCATATCGTTCGGTATCGATAATTATTGACATTTTTTATAACCTTTTTTTAAAACAAAGAGCTTTTTTAATTTTTTTTAATTTAACCACTGTATTTTTAAATTAACCCAATTTATTGAGACAAACAACAAATACTTTTTGTTTTAACAGTCAAACATACAATAAAAATTAAACAAATATCTAATTTCTAATGTTTTATATGCAGATTAAATAGGTCTGAAGGAAACTTTTGTCTTGTCTCCCGAGGCCACAGGAGGGCGCAATGAGCAAAATAATGCAGCACATTTAAATTGTCAACGCAAGGAAATAAATGTCTATAAAAAAACCTGCATTACGTCTAAATTAACTCATATAAATGAAATATAATTTTGTAAATTGCATAAACAATTATGAACAAAACAGCATCATGTATTTATGCATTGCTTAATACAAGGAGCCAAATCGCCCATCACACAGATTGCATTTAAAAGCATAAGAGACGCAGTGAAAAGGAATAAACCTCCACAAATTCGCAACGTGTTTTCTAAAGGTTTAAACTGTTTTAACTTTGCATGGCTACATCTCTTGTGTGAGACGTGAGTGCAGCAGTAATATTTGTCCGTCTAAAGTGGGGGAAGTCGTGGCCTAATGGTTAGAGAGTCGGACTCGTAACCCAAAGGTTGCGGGTTCGAGTCTCGTACCGGCAGGGATTGTAGGTGGGGGGAGTGAATGTACAGCGCTCTCTCCCACCTTCAATACCACGACTGAGGTGCCCTTGAGCAAGGCACCGAACCCCCAACTGCTCCCCGGGCGCCGCAGCAAAAAATGGCTGCCCACTGCTCCGGGTGTGTGTTCACGGTGTGTGTGTGTGTGCACTTTGGATGGGATAAATGCAGAGCACTAATTCCAAGTATGGGTCACCATACTTGGCCACACGTCACTTTCACTTTCACTTAAAAATGCGCTGAATATGCGTTTTGTGTGAATGGCTTGGTTTTGGATTTCACCTATTCAAGATCTTCTCCGCATTGAGCTACTATATTTCTCTAATATTTTGAATGCATAACACAGCAGCGACGCATCTCGTGAGCTAGACTAACAAAACATTAAAATGCAACAACGTCACTTACATCATCACCGCATCTCGTGCGCCACTGATGACGCTCCCTGACGCACTCCTAACATTCAAATGCAAATGTTTATTTTAAATTCGACTAATATTCTTTTTTTTTTATTCACAATCTCCTCATCACAGGCAGGCACAGCACTAATTTCAGCATGTGTTCGTGTTTGTGTGTGCTGTCAGCGTCACTCATAGCATGTGCCTATATCGTGCGCTATATCGAACACTATATCGAGAATTCTTTGATGATTAGAAATTTCAATGAATAGAATTGATTTGAAATATAAATCCTTTTTTAACATTATACATGTCTGTACTGTAACGTTTGATCACTTTAAGGTGTCCCTGCTGAATACAAGAATTATTTATTTATCCATTTATTTTTGAAATCTTACTTACCCCAAACTTTTGAAAGGTAGGGAATGCATGTTTCCACAAAAATATTAAGCAGCAAATGAGGGTGAGTAAATGATTACAAAATGATCATTTTCATTTCTCTTTATGGTAAGGAATGCATAAATAATACATTCTGTGAATGAGACACTTACTGATTTTCCTCTTCGGAAGAGAAGCTGGTTGCCGGCGAGGGTGAAATAACGCGTTTTCCACCTTTTGATGAACTTCCAGCGCACTTGTTTCTCCTTCAGCTTCCCCTCAATGAGTGGCTGGCCATCCTGGTTAACAACTGAGCAGAAAGAGTCAAAATGAAATGGTCAGACAATGTTAAAGTACAGGCAAGAATCACAGAAGTTGTATGGACTAGTGTAATTGTGCTTTTATGATGTTTTCATCAGCCCTGCTTTCATTGTATAAACAGAGCAGAATAAACACTCTTAAATATTCTTCTTTTGTGCTCCATCAAAGAAAGTCAGTCACAGACATGTTTAGAATGATACGAGGGTGAATAAATGATGAATTGAGATTTTTGGGTGGACAAGTCCAATTATAACATTAGCCCCTTTCACACAGCAATGCCAGCAAATTATCGTAAAATTACCAGAATTAATTTTCGGTTAATACACAAAATCTGCTGTTCACAAAAGCAATGCTGCCGTGCAAGGGCAAAAGGCTGTAACTTCGTTTTTGGTCGAAAATTAGTTATTGATATTTTTGGGACATTCAAGAGCTCCTTTATCATGTGCATAAGTATCTTGAGTCGATTTTGTTGTGTTTTGGAAAAAAATTATGAAGTTACTGTGTCAATATGAGGTTATCGAGTTATATGGTATTCTGCCTTTGTTTTACTGTCCATTAAAGTGTGCTGCTTTTAAATTACGGTGTAACTTGTGCACTTTCATTCTTCTGTCACTGAAGCACTTAGACAAAGAATTAGATAGATCGTGATCTACCAAACTGCTCCTTATAACAAAGCACTGTAAACAAGCAAAGACTAGATAACTTGGAATAAATGAGTAATCGTATATAATCTTTAACGATTTTTTTTTCTTCTTCTTTTTATATTGCAGATTATTCACTCAGTGCTTCACTCCAGTTGCACGCATTACTATATGTTATAGCTTATGAGATGATCACTAGATTTTATACAGGTGTTACTATAATGATTTTCTAAATGGTGATCAGCAACCAAATATTGATAATGTGGAAGTTACTGACTTTTGCCTTGGCGTGACATCTCTCTTTTTGTAGACAATACAAAGGCAGAGCACAGTCATTTCAAAATAGGGGCAAAAATCAAGTTTGAGCTCAAGATGGGCAGAATGTAGGGCAGAATGGTGTTCTGAGATAGTGAGACATTCACACATCAGCACTAAAATACCAGTAAACTCTGTGATGTCAGTTATCGGAACTTATGCAGCGTTTTTTATTCATTAGCTCAGATGAGGAGAAGCACTTAAGTTTAGCTATCTTTCCAATTTGATCATTCGTTACTTCTGCATGACAGGAGTAAGGAGATGATCACACAGAACACGTTTTTGTGCTTAAAAACACAATAGTATCCAACTGCAGAGCCGCGGTGCTGATGAATGGAAAAGAGGGCAGTTTTAGAGTGAAAAGCACAATACATCTATCAAAGACATCCAAATAACACACATTTACATAGAAAGACTATAAAAAAGCAGCAGAGCAAACAGTAAATAGCCTGGAATAATAACATCATGTCTGTCAGAACTTTATGATTGACCCAAAGCAGGCTTCTTCCGTCAGCGGCCAGACCTTATATGGAGTCATTCCAGTAATCTTATTTTTTGTTCACAGATAGCATGGTACTGGTTATTTACTGGTAATGTTACAACGGTATTTCTGAAAACGTCCTGTTCACACATTATCTCTAAAGGGTCATTTACCGGTAAAGATAGCATGCGTAAAAGGGGCTATATTCTGCCCAAAGGAAACAGAAATAGTCAACACAAAACAATACTCTTCACTCACACAGCCATCCTCTTCTGGACCTACTCCATGCTAATTACACACATACCCCTGGTTTCACAGCCTAGTCCCGGACTAAAATGCATGTCTGGGCTGTTTTAACTGAAAGAAACTTGATTTGTCTCAAGATGCACACCAGCAATGTTTTTTTTTCTAAGGCATCTTTATAAAAGCTACTTAGATGTCCTAATTGAACTATGGCTTAATCCTAACTTAATCTAAGCCCTGTCTGTGAAACCAGGCCACAGAGAATTAAGGCTGAAGTTTTCTCATTAGACGAACAAAAAAGCGTTGCTTAGTATTTACAACCACACTGAAATATCTGGTGTTTCAGGCACTGTGAATATTTTGTCTCTTGCCTGTGTTTGCTGGGTCTGTCTGAACTACACAAATCGTTTCACAGATCTCTCTCATGGGTCTATTTCAGTTAAACAGGAAGCTGTTTTATAGCCCTTCCAGGATGGTACAAAGCAGCCCATTGTCTGAGTTTTCCTTTTTTCAGCAAGGAAAACAGATGAGAATCTGCAGCGCTTTGATAGCCTGCTTAATATTAAGCAAGACTGATCTCTGATAATCTAATAATTTAGGGTACAAAATAGGGCCTGAAACTCTTAAAAAATTAAGTAATTTGTTTTTCTTTTTCAACAAACTGTCAGTAAAAGAATGCACTTAACCCTCAGAAAATGTTGTTCTGTTATTAAAATTAAATAAAAAAATGTAAAAAACACAAAATACACTTAATACCAATTCAACAGATTATGTCAAAACAATGACGTATTGGGTGTCGGATACACTTGAGAAGGTCAAGAACTCTGAAGTGGCACAGCCGAAATCATAATTTTTCAATTTCACATTGGCAGAACAAATGAGAAGCTTTAGAGGAGATAATGGTTGTTCTGGTTATTTCAACCCAAAACTTTCTGCAGATGTCTGCATTGCAGTGCTGGTAATGAGTGATAATTGAATTCGTGTGTGTTTATCCCCGAGCAACATAATAATTATGATGAATCGATTATGAATTCCAAATAAATTATTTTTCATTTGACAGATTTTGTTTTTTACTTTCTCTGCCTTTCTCTGGCATGCATTAATCAAAGCACTTGCATGTGTGTGTGAGAACATGAGCAAAGCAAACATAAAATGTATGTTTTGTAAATCCCAGAACATTAAAAACATCTATGCTGCATTCTGCATTACATTTGTTTGGCTAAAATGATTTCTGTTCTCTGTTTATTTTTACTGTGTATATGATAGTGTACTTAAAAATGAGTTTTTCTGTTTGTGGTCATGAAAGTGAAACATACACAATGATAAGAGCAGAGGCCAAAACTGATGCTCAGCAAGTCCAAAGTAAGATTGTTTGAGGAATTTTGGTCTTTCTGAAATTACACAATGTCCCAAATCATTGTAGCTGTTTGTGACGCTCAAATGTGCTCTCCCATCACAAGCGAAGTACAAACCTGCAGTAAACAGAATATTACACTAATTTGGATGCAACCCATTTGGAAATCTGGATTTTGGCAGTTCCAATTCACACGTAGTACAGAAAGCACAGAAAGCCAATGGGAAAAGAGTATGAATAAGTGGTTTGGAGCGCTATGTTACCAATACATCAATATATCTTTTGAGGTAAGTATTGTTTATTCCAGTTCTCCTACAATTGTAAATTCATGCAATGAGGGTATTGCTAGTCACTGTGTGGAAAAGAAGGCCAGTGTTTATTTTTCGGATGGTTGATGTATGTTATAGATTTTTCTCTGGGCTTTGGCCAGCGTTCTGCTTTACTGTTGATTTAGAGTAACTAAAGAAAGAAGCTCCGATAGTCAGACAGGATTCCAGCAACCCCTGCTGAGAATGTGGATTCACTTCTGTAGCATTTACTGGACAGGGTTTCACATATCTTAGCAAAGTTGGAGTACATCCAACTCCATGTCGAAAACAACACACAGGATAAAGGTTCAAGAGTTTATATGGGGCTTTGAAAAGGTTAAATATAGGCTATATGTAGTGATATAATATATAGTGAATCTGGTTTTAATGGATATTTCTAAGTTCCCCTTGTGAACTTTGGTCAATTTAGGTACCACTTTATATTTGGTGTTTTTAACTACTATGTACTTATGTCAAAATAAAAAAATAAATAAATGAATAAATGAACTAATAAATAAATGAATGAATGAAAGTTAGGTACAACTATTGTGTTCATGGTGAATTGCAAAACACTTTTGCTGCTATTGAGGTGGGATACGGGTAAGGCTAGGGACAGTTTCGGTGCTACAGTTAGGTTTAAGAGTGGGTTAAGGCATAGGGGTAGGGACGACAGTGTAATTATAGATGTAACTACAGAAATGAATTACAGATGTAATTACAGGAAGGCATTTTTTAAATGTAAGTCCAATATAAAAACAGGTTTGTACACATTGTATCAACTGATTCATTTAAATGTAAGCACAGAGTAGTTAAAGACACTTAATATAAAGTGAGTCCTGCTTTTAGTTTTTAAAATAATTTTATTTAGTAATAGCTGTAGAAATAACATTAAACAAAGGTGAAGTTGAGGTGGCAGAGGGATATCGGCAGAACAGTTCCCGGTGTGAAGTGAGCAGCTATTTACTATATATACACATTGGCAGGATGAGATAAACATAATTCTTAAAAACAATCATTCCAAACTCCATTAAAAGGTGGATTCAGAATATTTTAAAGGAAGGTTTGTACATAATTCCATTTAAGTATGAATAAATTATGAATTAATTTATTTATTTCATAGACTAATAAAAGAATATCTTCCAGAGTTTCCAAACAACAGTTTGATGGCAATAAATGACACACAAACTCTTTTTAGTTCAGTGTTCTAAAGGCAATGCTTAAAAATAAATTTGCCTTTCTTACATAAAATAAAATTTCAATTCAAAGCTTTTGAAATGTACAAATTAGACAGGACAGTGAGAGAAAAGCAGCCAACAGCCAGGATGCACCTCATGACATTTCTGCAGCAAGGTAAGCAGCATCATATTGGTAGTCTTGAAGCTGTATCACTGCATTAATTTCTCATTAATGCCGGAGCCGAACTCTGGAGCGCTCTCAAAGCACATAATGTGCTTCATGAGCTGACGACACACCAGACTTCTGTCAGACCATAACACTGCCAAGGTATGTGCTGCCTGTCCAAGCTTTGCTTACCCTTCCCCAAGTCCTTATTTCTGTAAACATTCACCTCGCTCTATTAAACATCATTACGGCTCTCTGCTAATGGAAACTGTCCCACATTCCAAATAAGGAGAAAGGAGGTAGAATGTGTGCTACAACCCTCGTATAATGAGCGGCTCTTGCTATTGAGGTTTCAATGAGTCTTTTATTCCCACCTTGGCTGCTGGATAGTGGTGTGTAAAAAAAATTCCTGTCTCATTAAAGTGTCTCTTTGTGGCCTAAACATTTGCTCTCTGAAGTAAAGTGACGCCATCAAAATTTCATGTACTGTAGCAATCCAATACTCCACCAAACAGCAGTGAACAATTTTAACATCCAAATCCGGGGGTGTAAAATATTCCAAGTAGAAAAACATGAAGAGTAACAACCAAAAACCAGAGTAAAAAAGCAGACCCAAAGCCTAGAAATACTGTTCAAGTAAATAATTTGGTAACACTTTATTTCGATAGTCCACTTTAGACATTCTATTAACAGTAAGTAACTTTGCAACTACATGTCAACTAGCAGTTAGTAGAGTATTAGTAGACTGTCTGCTTAATATCTTCTAACACTTTCTTTGTCAACTTATTCTACTAACCCTAAACCTACCCTAACAGTCTACTCTGAGAGTTAGTAGACATGTAGTTGCAAATTAATGAGAATTAGTTGACATGTAGTTGACATGTAGTTACAAAGTTACTTATAGTTAGTAGAATGTCTAAAGTGGACTATCGAAATAAAGTGTAACCAATAATTTAAGTAAACTTCCATTTAACAAATTTAAATTGATTACATGTAATCAAATATCTTGTGTTGCATTGTGTTGATTTTAATTAACTAATTTGCATTTAGCTAGTAGCCACGCAGATCTTAGCTGGTGAAGCTAGTCAAACTGCACTGACCTTCTGATGAAACTTATGAAGCAATTAAGCTATCTGCTTACAAGAACACATTGTTTTAGACCTCACTATGCAAACTGCACCTATGGCAATGCTGAGAACTGAGGCTTCAAATGCCTATAAATGATCTCAGATGAAACAGACATGCTCCATGTGCACCAATTTACAATATGTTTCATTGTTTTCGGTAAACATTCAGGCCAGAGACAAAAACCTTCTTCATTGTATCTAATTGGTTCTTGTGGAAAAATCCTACTTAAAAGCACATCTGTATGTCTGGAGAAGATTCAAAACAAAGCAACAGTAATTCTGGATGCCCTTGAATGGGATCAGAAGCCTCTTTGTCTAAACGATGAACATCCTAATGCTGGACTGATGTAAACGATCTCAGCTACAGAAATGAGACAAACCACCTTTTCCTCTACTTTTTGTTTTCTGATGCTGTGGAAAGCAGATTTCAACAATCATAACAGAGGACTGAAGCTGTATGGGACATCTGGAGTTCTGATGTGCTTTTGCAAAATCGTGTAGCCGCTAATCATTAACGTCAGAGAAGGATCAGCTGTAACTCTTTTAAAATCATGACTGTTATTCACTGATAATCTTGCCCTCCAGTGAGCTATTAACAGCTGCGACCGGATCGAGTCAAGCAAGTTGAACTCGAGAACCAGATCAGCCCAATTTGTGAATGAATCATTTAGACCATTTTTGTGAACCGCATCAACTGATTCATTGAAAAGACTCACGATTACTCCTCTCACACATCAGGGACTAAGTTTGGTTATTTACTGTATTTTTCTGCAACACTATTAACCTTGGTAAATTGTCACAGGGTTGAAAGTGAGTCATTTATTATGTGCATATGTTTAAACTAGGTCAAAAAAGAAGCAAATCATATTTACCTGTGGCTTTCTCAGGGTTACTGCACATGAAACAGAGCCAGCCACCCTCCTCTTCACTGTAGCTGAACAGGTCAAAGAAACGAACCTCCTCCAGATACATCTGCAAACTGTCCACATCCTGAGAATGAATACAGAGAAGGAGTGAGGAAATTTAGCAGATGAAGCTATTCCACAGCACTGAAGATGATGCACAATAGAAAGAGTCATTAGCTACCAGCTCACACGACCGATCTGCTCCAAAACCCAGACCGTGCAATTATGCTTCCTTCAAAAATACCTCATTTTGGCCGTATTCTAAGACAGCAACACATGTAACCTTTACAAAGTATGCTAGAATGCAAGTTCAGTGAGAAAAAAAAATCTTCCAAGATCTAAAGATTAGTCTAAAACAATGCTTATTATAAGTATACTTAATACTATACTTACTTTTACTATTTCACTCAATAGTTATGTGTGCTTTATGTTGTTTGTTTGTTTATTTATTTATTTGTAATGTTGTTAGCTTAGAAAAATGTTAATGCCAATCTACTGGAATTAACTAACACATTTATTGGAATAACATAGACATCATTGAAATATGTGCCCTGAGATCAAACTTCTTTCTGTTATATATTGAGATTCTGTAATCACCAAAAAAGAAAGACAGAAGCACACAATTGTTTTGCTTTGAGGTGCTCCCTGTCTGTCAGTTACTGAGTGTACGGGTTTGCTGAGATATCTATGCAGGCCAACATTTTGGCAAAGTCCAGCTGAAGTTAGCAAAGTGGCTAATATTTATGACAGAAGGGCTACCTTGTGAATGTAAACAGTAACAGCAAGGCAGCTTATTAGGTTTTGGAACAGGGCTAACTCATTCACTACATTGATTTAAAGGGGTCATATGATGCGATTTCAATTTTTCCTTCACATGTGGTTGCCGCAGGCATCACAATATGGTAAGGAACATAACATTTCCGTCACACGCTTGAGGAATTCGGCCAATCACAACGCACTGGATAGCTGGCCAATGTGGCCACATCGGTCCTTTTTCAAACCGATGAGCTTTGTAAAAATCTATGCGTTTCAGAAAGGCGGGGCATAGAGGAGAAACAATAATGTACAGTATGTGGAAAAGAATGTGTTTTTTGAACCTTAAACCACATAAACACATTTCATTACACCAAATACACAAAATAATGTTCTTTTTAGCAACATCATATGACCCCTTTAAATGTGAAGATTTACATTGTGGAGAGATTCTTGACACCAGGAAAGTAGTAAACCACAAGCTAGCTTTGAGAGAGTTGTGATAAATTGTAGTTAGCCACTTAAGGTAACGAGTTTTCAAGATTAATGGAGTCTCATTAGTCTTTAAGTGGAAGAGACTTTTGATTTAGTTATCTGTCTCAAGTCTTTGCGGAAGGCCGTCAATGGACTTAAACAGCTGCGTAATGACAATATGGGATTTACTTACGTATTATAGAGTCAACAGCACAGCTAGACACCAATGAACAATGAGAGTCAACATCTAAATGTGCTTACTGACTAGAATTTCCAGTGGATGTGAGGGTGTGTGGCCTTTAGCAAGAGCAATCTGCCAAAATGAAGACAGCCAATGATATTTGAAAGTTTTTTTTTTTTTTTTTTTTTTTACAGATATCAAAATAAGTGAAGTGACTATTATACTGAGCTGAGGTATTCTGGAAATGGACAATCACAAACATCACACAGAAGAGTTGGAAGAAAAACAATCTTTTTTCGGAAGTCCTTTCCAAGAAATTACAATCACTGGCTTGTGCATTGCCTCCACCCTTAAAGGGATAGTTCACCCAGTTACTCACCCTCATGTCGTTCCAAACCCATATGAAATTCATTCATCTTTGAAACACAGATGAAGATATTTTTAATGAAACCTGACAGATCTCTGTGCAAGAACCAAAAAAGGCTTGCATTATGCAAGTATGGTTGAGCTGCCATTGACCATATTTGATGTACGTTGATCATTGTTTATATGTGAATTAAAGCTATAATTAAATTTGCTTATCAAATAAAGTGACCATGTCTTTCCAGCAGACTATATAAGGATTACTTTTACGATGACTTTATGAAATTTTGGTTGAATGGACTTTCAGTGGAGGGACAGAAACCTCTCAGGTTTCATAAAAAAATATCTCTAAATATCATCATCATTCCAAAGATGAATGGATGTCTTATGGGTTTCATACAACATGAGGGTGAGAAATTGGGGTTAATAAAACTACTTGTATCACACAAAGCTATGCATAAAATCCTTCTGTGGAAAATAAAAGATATTTTGAGAAAAAAAATCCCTACAAAGAAAGTCAATGATAAACAAAACCAACATTCTTCAAAATGTATTTTGTGTTCTGCAGATGAGTCGTGCATGATGAGTGAGTGATTTTGGGTGAACTATCCCTTTAAGATTATAAAGCTTGAGTCATACAAATCATTTAAAAAAAATATTTATTTAATTATTCAGAGCTTGGGGGAACTATTCCATTAAGAAGGTCTGATTTTCTACTTTCTGTATTACACAAAGTTTCACTTCAAGCGAATGAAACCAGGTCATCAGTCATTCCAGCTTTCTCAGACCTGAGGCTCAGAGAGATGAATGGAAAGAGTTTTCACCGTCTCCTTCAGCATGGCAGCGCATTACTTAGATTAAGGTGGGGGACACAGTAAAGCCAACTTCCCCAGACAATAGACCGACACCAAATTTGTTAGAGAAGAAATTGCTTCAAGAAACCCATTTCAAATTTCAGTTGAGTGGTCAAGAAGACAACTAAAGCCCAAACAACTTCCATTAGATCTACATGATACAAGTTGTTCAGAGCTAAGAGTAATCCGACACAAGGGGTAGACAAGAGTTTAATTTTCACCTTTCCTGTGAGTGATCACAATCGAGAGCTTTTATTTCTCCGAGTTCAGAGCAAAGGGAGATGAAAGACCATCCATCATACATCCTATATTTAAATTTCTCTTCATGCTTGCCTGTAGATAGATGCATGTCATTATCGAACCCCCGCGGACAGCCTCTCTGGCTAAGAACAGTCCAGTCATCTTACTAGTGCTCTGCCTTCACTTATTTCATGCCAGCTAAATCAGTGTAAGAATCGAGCAAGAAATGTAATGTGCATTTGATTATTTGTGACAGGAAAACCTTTTTAAATATCACAAATGGTATTTGATGTATTTTTTTACAGATGAGTCAAGTACATAGGTCTGAGGGCCATGTGTGTGTGTGTACATGTTTTCACACGTGGAGTTCAGTAGGGGGTATTTGTGCTGTGGTTTATGTTTCTTATTAAAAGCTGGGCTCAAAAAATCTGAGCTGGAGAGGATTTGCCCAAATCATTCACTCTAAGATAGTGGTCTTGATCTGGTGGTTAACCCAAAATTAGGTTGCAGGTGTCAGGGTTCTGTCATTTCGGTTGGGCTTATTCTTAGTTTAGTGACTAAGAACTCATATATCATCTTGTCTTTGTGTGCAGCTTCAAGTTTGCTCATGCCGTGCACTCTCTCGTCCTTGTGGTGAGTTGTGTGTGCGGAGCGTGGTGTATGGATTTCAACACCTCTGTCTTGTTTGGTTCAGTGTCTAGGCCCCGATATATTTCAAGCGAAATCGAAGAACGAACTGATGTGATGTAATTTCGAACAAAATCCGGCCAAAAACGAAGTTTGTTTTGGGAGTTCGAAACGGCTTGCCAAAGCAAACTTTCCGGAAAAGTTCGTTCCGGCCTTCGTACTACCATTGGTCCGTGACAATTATGTCATAGGAGGTGTGTGCTGAGGCTCCGCCTTCTTTCACTCAGAACTCTTCTGTGGGTTCATTTCGTCTGTCGAGTCCTTGGAGGTGAGATGTCCGCGGGTAAAAACATGAACACAGTGGAGAGCCGTTTTATAGTAGCAAATTAAGTTCTGCTTCTGATGAAATGAGACACTGACAGTGTTTTCATGTTTAATACTGCTGATTGCTTTTAAGCAATATATTGAATAAAGTGGCATGTAAATACACATGACGTGACTTTACAGGAGTGCTAATTTACAGAGCTTTCGCAAACATAACCATGTTGCTATGATCAGATTATTATAAAAAATATTCTTGCCGTTTTCTCCATTTTTGTTTTGTTTATTTTGTTACTGAGAGGAAAGCGTGCTGCACATATTTACATATTCATATAAACGTTGCTTTCATCAGAGTGGGCGGTGTTGGGATGTTCGATAACAGTATACGCTGCTCACGTATTTCGAACTTCGTTTTACCGATAAACGAAGAACGAAAAATAACTTTGTTTTGAGTATATCGGGGCCTTTAGAGTAGAGGTCTTCACGGGTCCACTTGGATCCGAAAACCCGAGGTCCAACCCGAGCGGGTTCAGGTCCAAAACTTCGACGAGTACCTTGGACACAGGTCGGGTTTTTCATTATTAGCGGCCTCAGGTCTCGGGTAATTTAAAATAAACATGCTTTTTCCAAATAGACCCAATTAGACCCAAATTCTTTTAAACTATCCCGAATGCGTAGCCTACTTTCACTTTCGTGTTAAGTGAGGAACGCAGATAGACAAGGAGCATAGGCTACGTTTGTAACCTCGCACACAGAAATCATCTTATAGATATGAGATCCATCAGGAAAATCCACTCGCTTCACTATGCTGCCTGTTCATATAGGGCTTTTCTTTTTTGTGTGCAGAAGCCTTTCGCCAGAGATCAGGTTGCAGACAACACTAGCGAATCCATTAATTATTAGGCTATCGATTTTTTTTTATCAAACTGTCACGTTTATTTTTCAAATCCACTGGTCACGATTGAAAGCCGAGCTCAGAAATAATTTGTATCCATCAGGCAGGCCCTAATATAAAGTAGCCTAATAATAAATTTAATAAATGTTAAATAAATCAAAGTATGGAGATGCAGGGCTTTTTTTTTTGTGTGCAGAAGCCTTTCGCCAGAGATCAGGTTGTAGACAACACTAGCGAATCCATTAATTATTAGGCTATCGATTTTTTTTTATCAAACTGTCACGTTTATTTTTCAAATCCACTGGTCACGATTGAAAGCCGAGCTCAGAAATAATTTGTATCCATCAGGCAGGCCCTAATATAAAGTAGCCTAATAA